TTCCAGACAACTGAATTCCCTGTAATTTTCAATCCTCAATGAAAAAAAATTTTTTTTGGTTCTTTTTCGTTTATACAAAAAAAAAAAGAAAAACCATAAACAGAAAATCTAATGATGTTTCTTTTTGTTAGTTGAAGTTAAGAAAAAAAAACAAAAACCTAATTGATTATGCCAAATCAATTCACCAGTAATTATTATTGTAATTTAATATACTATGTGTATTTTTGTTTAAAGTTAAAATATGTCAAGGTGTAGTGAAGAAGAACACAAATGGAGGACAATCGAATCCATATATGTCTCCTCCCTTCTTTAAAGAAACCATTCTTACAGTGGTTTTACTTGCCATACTACATTGTTTTTCTTCTGCAGTCTTGTCGCGCTTCTCGACAAAAAGTGTTGAGTCTGAGAAGCACTGAATCTCATAGCTCCGACGACCTGCCGGGACATCTACATCCGACGCCCCACAGCTCCTCTCTATCGACAGCACCCGCTACAGCCAGTACCGCCCAGCAAAATATCAATTAATTGTCTCGACCTCGACTGTTTCTTTTGCAAATACCAGTCCATCTTCTCAGATTTCATTGTTTCTACATTTTCATACGGAATTGCTTTCCGTTCCCGTTGTCTCCTTCTCAATCTCCTACTTAAATACATTTTATTGCTGACTATCATTATATACTACATATGTGGATATAAGTTGCTCATACCACAAAGGTAGTTTATTTTAATTAGTTTTTCATTAATAAAAAAACAATAATCTGTTATGTACAAACACATTGGATTATTTGAAATGAATGCACTTTCTAAATGATATTTCATCTATTGAATTGTGAAGTAATGTGTCGAATTGAGAGATTTGATTCATTAGGATTTTGTTGAGGAGACCAAAAACTAGGACGAAATGGCTAAGAATCAAGTTCTCATTATCAAAGCAGATAACAAGTAAAATAATTTTGTGTTAACATATTTTTACAGAACAGCTTATCTACAATTGAAGAACATCTGGAACACAAAACAACTGTCTGTCAACCAACATCAAAGTCAAAGTTTCCAATACAAATATCAAGAAAGTTCTACTGTATGGGGCGAGAACTTGGAGAACTACGAAAACCACCATCCATAAGATGCAAGTGTTTGTTAACAGTTGTCTATGTGAAATACTTCCGATCCGTTGGTTATCAGCAACTATTAGCAACAACCTACTGTGTGAGAGTACAAACCAGATTCCAGTGGAGGATGCAATCAACAAAAAACGATAGAATTGTATAGGACACATATTGAGGAATGCACTCAAGTGAGTCACAAGGCAAACCCTCACTTGGAATCTTCAAAGTCAAAGGAGGAGAGGAAGACCACGGAAAACATAAATCATCTAAATGGAGACAGACAGACAGATATGAGGAGAGTGACAAACAATTGTATAGAACTAGAAAGGAAGGTCCATGATATAATGGGTTGGAGAATGCCGGTCGGCGACCTATACTCCACTGCGAGTGACATGCATCAGTAAGTTAGTCAGTAAGTAAATAATATTTTTACAGAAAGATGACCAGAAAATATTTTAAGTCATCACAATACTTGACAATCTGGAATAAGATTATTCTGTTATGCCAAAAGATTTAGTAACATTTCTAAACCTAAAGTAAATTTCCGGAAACACTCCTTGTTAACTTATCGATTGCTACAAATAGATTTTATTTTGATGGAAATTGACCAAAGTTATTGATGTACACCGTTCAACGGTTGTTTAGTGACTTGAAAACTAAGCGTTCACTTCAAGATCTGGATATTTATGAATCAATTACTGTTAGGATCATCGGTATGTATCGTTAAGGATTCAACTGTTATTCTGGAAAATCTATTCAATGCTTCATAATTTTCATTAGTTATTTGATTTAAGATATTTCATGATTTCAAATCTATCCAACAAAATTTGTGAATCAACTATTGAGCCAACTATTAATCATTGTATTCTATTATAAATGCTCTTTATTATGTAATGGGATACTAAAATGTTCTTGTTAAGTTATAAATCTATTATGTTTGTCATGAAAAATGATTGATTAAACTGTTTTCGTATACAACCATCCCTAATACTGTTAATAGTTTAAGAGGAATACAAAAAAAAAAGAAAAAAAAAGAACGATGCCCAGATACTAACATACACCTTGCAAAACTTGATGTGTTTGTTTTTTTACTATTCGATCCTATTAAGTATACAATGTCATAGAGTCATAAAACAAAATGAAATCAATTATTTATCACTTTGTTATTTTCAATGTTCTTCCCAAAATAAAGGAGAATGATTTCAGCTTTCCTATAACAGTTCTATATGGTAAACATTTAATCAATTAGTAAACAAAATGATTGACGATATGAATTGATAATTAATGTGTAGCCCTTCCACAACCACCACCACCACCAAAATGAAATTTTATTTCGATGGTATTTCTGTTGTTGTTGTTGTTGTTGGTGGTGGTGGTGGTGGTGTTATTGTTGTTGTTGACTTAGCTAATTTAGAAAAAGAAAAGAAAAGGGGGGAAATACTCACAACATTTAATGTACAACATTAAAAATACATTAAATCAAATAATTCTACCCAATTTATTTAATGTTAGATTTTATAGAAGAAAGTTTGTGGTGGACTATGCTCCTCCAAGAAGGGTAACAGGCGTAAGTAAGTAAGTTGGTAGAAGAGAGTAAATATTTTTATCCGAATGATTCATAGATTATTATAATTATCCTAATGTAAGTGTGATTTTTTTCTGTTTAGATAAGAAACGCTGATTCAACTTTAATACCTCTTTTGTGTTAAAATAATTATCAGTATTGAGTTGTGGAGATTATTGTATTTTTGATTCATATCATCAATCTATTGATGTTAGATCACTATTGAAAATCTAGAAGCACTGGATGGTCGTTTCTTCCTACTACGGGACTCATCAGCAGTTCTCAACCATGATCCCACTTGCGGGATTCGAGCCCGGGACCTTCAGTCACGCGCCCGAACGCAACCATAACCTAATATTGATAATTACCACATGCTCACTAGTGACTAGCTTTATGAGGGAATTCTCGGAGTTCTAGTGAGAAGCCGGGACCAGTGGAGCTAATCCATGTTAGGTAGAGTTAGGTATCTACCTCAGATGGTCGCGCAATATCGTGGACTCGTTGAGATTGAAAATTAACACCATTAGATGCCGGCCGGCTCAGTGATCTAGAGATGAAGCGTTCGCGTGTGAGACTTCAGGTCCTGAGTTCGAATCCAACGATTGGGGTCGTGGATGTGCGCCACTATGGAGCTCCATAATAGGACGTAACGGCCGTCCAGTGCTTCCATTTTTCCAGTAGTGGTCTAACATCAGTCGATTCATGATCTTAATCAAAAACATAAGAGTTTAAACTTATTTCGTCTAAATAACAAGATTCTTGTACAGTGAACAAACACACAAGTGGAGAAAATCGAATGTAATTGAACACACAACTACAGAATATCTGATAACCATACAGTAAATACTTCATCTGTAAAATATCAATCAATCGTCATTCAGTCAGTCAGTAACAACGTAGAACTTCGTACGTACGTACATGAGTTCGAGTTGCCATAACACATCAACACAGAGATTCAGTTGTCGATTCAAATCCCGTAGTGGTAGAGGCGGTAAGAGTATAAGCAATAATCGGAAACATTAGGGTTTGAAGATGTTATTTAAAGAGTATAATCCAGTGAAATAAATTTGGAAAGAGAAAAAAGAGACAAGGATGAATTAGGATATTAAAATTTGGGAGAACACAAAGAGTGTATGCACCTGCGCCATTGCAAACGATTTTGAGCCTTGTCATTCAGGGTCTCTAACCATCAGTTGCTATCATCTCGCGGTCCTCAACCAGGTAGTCTACACCTACCAACATGACTCAGTCCACTTGTCAGTGACTTCATGAACTCGTGCCATTGTTTTGGTATCAATCAATCGTATCAGAATTCATTGTCCTATCATTTCCACACCAATCATTCTCTGTTCTCATTTCTTTGATCTTCTTAACCTTCTTCTGCCATCAGTTATTTCACTTTCATTTGATGATACATACTACTTATATATATCTACCTATTGACATCAATAGCACACATATCACAACTGTACACCTATCCACTAATGGGAATTATTCTTTTTCATAGCACTACAATCAATTATTGATCAGCAGAAGTAAAACAAAGATAATTAAAATATTTGATTGTATTAATTAA